CCACTTATAATCAAGGTTGCCAGTGAAATCAGTGGCAAAAACGTTGATTGTGTTGTCAGCTCTGGTAAAATCAGTGTTTTGGAAGGAGGGCAGGCAGATGGGAGCGTGGTGTCTGGGACCAGAGTCAGCCTTTTCTGGCGAGGAGGGAGCGAGGGATTTGTTTCCAGGTCAGTGCTATTTGCTGATATAACACTTCAGAGGTGGGCAAGATGCACGGGTGAGCATGGTGCGCGCTGCCAGGCTGGGAGAAACGGCATTTCCCCTGGCATGGGCAAGTTCAGACTACTGTCAGAGCCGCACCTTTGTTCGTGCTCCTGTTTCAGTGCACTAAGCTGGGGAGGTGCCAAGGAAACTCCTCAATTAATCACTTTACAGACTGTTTAGACACAAACAAAAATATATTTAGCTTCCATGAAGCTGAAAAAGAGAGACATAAACTGATTTTATCAAGATTAGACTCTTACAGGAGAAGATTTCAACACGAATTAAAACTGTTATCTTGATTTTCTACAGTGATTTCTTTCTCCCCAACAATCCCTTACTTTTTTTCTCCTGCTGTAGCTGTAGGGACTGCCTGGTTTCTCTGTTTTGGACCCGGCAGTATCACAGGTTGCTTCTGATTAGTCACAGAAGCAGCAAGGCAGTGGTGGTTAGGCTTGTATGTGGGCAGGTGGGCACAGGCTACAGGCAAAGCGGATGAATCCTTTGGTGTTGGGACAGTCTTGCTAATGTAAATGTGAAGCTAAAGCCAGAACTTGCACCTTTTTGTTCCAGGATGTGTGAGCAGAGGATACAGCCTTGCTAATCCCCACTGATCCCCACAGACAGGATGGCAGGCCATCTCTGTTCTGGAAATCTCACAGGAGCTTTGCTTTTCTGGCAAGCCGTGGGCCTTCTTCAGCTCAACATCTTGCAGCCAGTAACGTTTTTTTCCCAGCGCCTTTTGCATCAGTAGCTTCAGGGCTCAAAATCCTTCCTGGTCCTGCACAGGGTTTGTCCCTGCCAGGGATTTTCCAGCTGTCACGGAGCGTTTAGATCAGTGTTGGTCACTGATACATGTACAGCTGGATTAGGAAATTTTGGGAGGTGACTCAGCATACAGCTTGGATGAGCTCAGCCCCTCCTGACCTCTGCCTCTTGCTCTGAACATCCTGCCTAGCTAAAAGCTTCCTCCTCCAGAGTGATGCATTTAGAGTAGCCAGACATTGCTGTCTAAGGGGAATGAATTTATGTGATACACAGCTGAGTGAAAAACCTTTCAGGACGTGGCTTTTCCTCTTTTTCTCAGTCACAGGAGATGATATTTCTGGACGTGCAGTGGTCTGCATGGGAAGCAATGCACCTACAGCTCACAGCTAGTTAAATCCCGCAAGGCACAGCAGTACCAGCTCATCTGCTGCACATTTAATGTGTTTGTCGAGGTACGTGCTGGTGCTTGAAGTCTGACAAACTGCACACCTGATTCGAAGCTGGGAGGTGATTCATTGTCCCATATAAAATAATTCCTTAGAGTCTTTCTCTTGAAATGACTTGCACGTCAGAAACCGTATGTGGGTTAGGAGCACCACTGGATTCGCAGAACACTGCAGCCCTGAGGTCACGGTTTTGTCATGGCAGAAGTTCTGTGAAAGAAGCATTTTGGTCTGGCATCAGCTCAACACCAAAACATGCCACCTTGGAGAGTCAAGATAACCTCCTGGCATGTGTCAGCCTGTTCCCTGCTGTGTCCTGACTAGGCTGTTGGGTCGGCTTTTGGTTCATTTTAATGCCATGGGAGGAGAATCCTACTAGAGTATTGCCCTGTGCTGTCAGTCATTTTAGGAATGCACATGGATTCCTTTGTTTCATTTGGCTACCTGAAGTGGTGCTTCAAACTGGCCCGCACTGGACAGCCAGTTTGCTCAAGGCCAAGCTTGGCTTTGTCTCCAAAGCTGGGATGAAGAAACAAGAGACAAACAAGCAGGGTCCCTGTGCTAGGAGCTGTTTCTGACCCGGTGATGGAGATATGACACATGTCAAAGAGCAGGAGGGCGTTTGGGCTGGTAAAACAACAGACCTAAAACTCAGAGCATCATGCAAGGACACGCACAATCTGTGTCCCATCCTGGTGCAGGGCAGAGAGGGGCCAAGAAACAGCTGCTGCATTTCCAGAGCAGGATTTCTCAATTACTCTTTTATGCCACCTGGGTCACTCCTATTGAGATCACCTGGATTTCTTCCACATTACAAACCCCACTGGTGAGATCTGGGTACCTCTCAGTCTGACACAAAGCCCACACAGGGCTATGTAAACAGGTTTGCCATTATTTTTTTTTCACTTTTTGCTCCTTTTGAAAGCCACCAAGGGACAGTCTGAGGGTTTGAAAGATGGGGGGAGATGGCAGTACCTCCTAGTGCTGGAGTAAGCAGGTGGCGACTTGGCTTCTCTTTACTTTTCCACTATAAACACCATTTGCTTCTTGGTGCTGCAAGACTGGGTAAGAAGTTAAAACAAATGGAATTAGAAACAAATGGAATTGAAAACAATCTCAGTAATGCAGTGATGCGATTAAGAATAAAACATAGCCTGTGTGGCCTGATCCCTGGTTTTGGTTTGGGATTTGAGTAACACAGTCGCACAGCTGTGTTTGGAAAGCAGTGCAATAACGTGTCGCGTTTCCAGCTCCCTGCCCATGCTGCTGACTTAGTGAGGAGAAGGGCTTGAACCCAAGGCTTGAACCCAAGTCTTGAAGCAGTGGGAGCATCGTTGCTTCTGCAAGGCTGGCTCTGTTTTTTTCCCCTTGTCCTTAAATTCAAGAGCTTCCTTTGCATGGCTCACCAGTGGGTTTCAAATGCCACATCCCGCTTGCACAGAGGAGCTTCTGGAATGGACTCTTCTCATTGCAGTTAATTCTTCGGGGTTCCTCACACTAGAGGATAGATGGAATATTTCCAGTGTATTTGTTCTCTTGACTAGGTGTGGAATATATTTATTCCTCTCTTACTGAGTCTTCAGTTTTTCATAGAATCATGGAATGGTTAGGGTTGGAAGGGACCTCAAAGATCATCTAGTTACACCCCCCCTGCCATGGGCAGGGAAATCCTCCACTACACCAGGTTGCCCAAAGCCTCATCCAACCTGGCCTTGAACACTGCCAGGGATGGGGCATCCACAACATCTCTGGGAAACCTGCTCCAGTGCCTCAGCACCCTCAATGTAAAGAATTTCTTCCTTATATCTAACCTAAATCTCCCCTCTTTCAGTTTAAATCCATTGCCCCTTGTCCTGTCACTACACACCCTTGTAAAAAGTCCCTCTCCAGCTTTCCTGTAGGCCCCCTTTAGGTACTGGAAAGGTGCTATAAGATCACCCCGGAGCCTTCTCTTCTCCAGGCTGAACAGCCCCAACTCTCTCAGCCTGTCTCCATAGCAGAGGTGCTCCAGCCCTCCCATCATCTCCGTGGCCATCTCTGGACTTGTCCCAGTAGCTCCATGTCCTTCTTGTGTTGGAGACTCCAGAGCTGAACACAGTATTCCAGGTGGGGTCTCAGGAGAGCTGAGTAGAGGGGCAGAATCACTTCCCTCGACCTGCTGCCCACACTCTTTTTTTGCTCTTTTTCCTTTGCAGTTCAGCAGTAGGATCTGCAATGCTCATGCAAGGTGTGTGCAAGGAGCTTAGTGTCTTGGCTCGTGGGTGGAGATGGATGGTGACATACACTGTTCCCATGTGGAATTGCAGCTGGATTAACACTGTGCCACTGGTGTTCGGACAACAGGAGCTTGGGGTTTAGTGGAGACCGCAGCCCTGTTAGCACCAGCATGCCCAGCACAGCTGCTACGTGGTCATCAGGGTTACTTTGCAGCCCCCTTGCACAGATCAGGGCTACATCCAGCTACAAAACTCACCCAGCACTGCCTCAACACACAGCAAGAGGGAGAGAAGCATCTCCCAGGTGGTTTTGGAAGCCTTTTTACCTGAAGGCATTGGGTAGATTTTCATCTATCTCAGAGAAATATGTCCCAGTTCTTGTTGTTTGTGCTGGGACAGCTGCTCTGCTCTTGCCCAGCTTTCAGTGCTGCTTCTCCCTGTAGCAGTTTCCCAGTGTCTTGCCCAGCTGCAAGACTAAGGAGACTTTGCCTTTCTGGATGGATGATCAATAGATCACTGTGTTTGTCAGAGGTTTTTTCCTCCCTCTTTACTTCTTTATTGACCTGTTGCTCTTTTGAAACCTCAGCTATTTAGGAGGCAGATTGAGCCACAAGTTGTTACCTGGACTCTGTATTTTTACCCTTTTGTAAGCAAACTCAAACCCTGAAATTGTGACACTAGGAAAACAACTTGGGTTGTGATTTCTTTAATAATCCTATCACCTTCTCCAACTTCTCCACTCCCTGGGATGGGATTTGGTAACATATTACAAATAGGGTAAGACAGTTTTGAGCAGCATCTTGCAAGACTTGTATACCAGGGAGTATTTGCTGATTCCTAACTCTCAAGAAGCTGGAAACTTAGGCTAAAGCAGCCCACCAGCTTGGGGAAGCAGCTTTTCTCTCTGGAGGGCTCACTTCTGAGGCCCTGCTGACCTCCCCGGGCTGCTTCCCCAACACATCAGTGTGACACGTGGCTGTCCATGTCACCTGGGGCTTTTACCCAGCAGCTAAGTGCACACCTTAGAAACACATTGCAACGTAGTCATTTGGTTTTAATGGATGGCCTTGGGTATTAAAGCATCACATCACCCACTTCTGCCCACTGCTGCTGTTTCACTGGACATTTGGCTTGGAGATCTATGTCAAACAGGGAGATATAAGACAGCAAGAGTGTGGCCAGAAACAGAAGTGGGTTGAGAGGGGGGCCAGAAACAAAAGTGGGTTGGGAACAGCCACAGCTAAGTATTGGCTGTCCTGGGCAGCTGCTTTCTTGTGGCTTGAGCATTTGGTCTTAGCAGAGGTGATGAAGACGAATGGAAATGAGAAAAGACCTTTCTCTCTACTGTTCAGAGGCTGCAGTTTCTTGATAGCATATGAAGCTGGAGTTGTAGCTGCTTTGCAGGAATTGTCACCTGACATGCTGAAATCTGCATCCAGGATCTATGGGGCATCTTCAGGATCGGTTGTAGCTACACTTACATTGTGTGAGTGTGATCAAGGTAAGGGCTATGCGCTTCTATTTAGTCTGTGTCTAAAGAGATCACATGTTTGGAAATTTTGGACCTGCAAAGGATCTTTTCTTTTTTAAATTATCCTTAATCAGTGAGTGGTTAATTCCTCAGAATTTTACTTCATTGACTTCTTTAAGAGTGGAAAACATGGGTAACTTAACCAGCACAGAGAAAATAGACTAGATATAGGGATTAAATTAGTCATTGAATCTTTTTAATTTGAATTAATGGTAAGCATATCGAGTATAAGAAACAAAAGTGCTCTCCCTAGTAAGGCATTTGAGGTTGTTGGTAGACTCCAAAAACCCAGAGGGGAAAGGAAATATTGAATATGGAGAGGATCAGTGTTGCTGATGCATGGAATAAAAAGAAAGTTACAGTCACACAGCTGAGAAATACGTTCAGGGCACATAGATGCGGAGCCAACACGGGGAAATGTTACACAAAGGCTTCCTGTCAATTTTCTCCCATATCTCCAAAAATTTTTAAGATGTCTTGTGGAGGAAATGGAGAGAGATGGGAAAAGAAAACAAAAAATTTCTGTTTCCTGCAATATTGAAGGTCCTTGGAAAATCTGGGTCCACTCACGAGAGCTTCAGCCCTAAAGAAGATAATGGCTCTTTATGAGCATTTACCAGCATGGTAAAATGCCCCTTTACCAGGTGGAAGTGCAGCCCAGAAAGTACATAGATAATAACCTAAGGTACGTGGAATTATTGCTTTGCTTTAGATGAGGTGAAGCTGTCCTTCCTGCGTGCTTTGAAATTCTCTTTATGGGGATTTATTCCTGGAGGAACAATCCCTAAAATCTTAAAGGACGTCTTAAACAAACACCTGCCTACGAACGCCCACCAGCTGGTATCTGGAAAGCTGCATATCATCCTCACCCGATTGCGCGACTGGAGAAGCGTGACGGTTTCGGATTTTGCCTCCAGGGAGGACCTCATCCAGGTGAGAGCAGCCACAGCCACCCTGCCAGGAGAGCTGTGGGAGATGTCCTGCATGCCCATGCCCCACGGCACCCGCAGCAGAAGCCTGGGGCCTCGCGGGGGTGCATACCATGATTCAATTTACGTCCTCGCCGCCCTCTGAAGCCAGACAGGGTCACAAGCTGAAAACCATTTTAAAAATCAGCCCTTTTGATTGCTGGCTGAATTATCTACAGGGCCTGGGTATGCAGGGAGTAAAATGAGGCATTTCAGAGGTTACCTTCCTACCTCTCCAACCCTGTCTGTGGTCATCAGACATGGTCTGGTCCTCAATAGTCAGTGGTGTTCAATAACCCAGCCATGGGTCCCAGTTTTGGCGTTCACAGATGAGCCACCCTTCCCAAAGGCAACAGGTTTTTGTGGCTTTTTACTCACTTCTGTGTTTTCCATTTCACCCACAGGCTGTGATATGCAGCTGCTTCGTCCCTGTGTATTTTGGATTCATACCTCCTAAGTACAATGGAGTGGTGAGTAGCCTTGGAGATCCCATCCCAGCTCAGGCCAAGGGCCCATCTAGCCCGTGTCCTTTCTCCAGTGGTGGCATTCAGCATATTTATACCCGCGTTTGCCACCACAGCTGTTTGGTGCTGTGCTCACACAGTGTCTGCAGAGGGAAGAACTGCACCCAGGTGCCCCACGATCTGACCTCACTGCAGACAGACCTGACCTTCTCACGAAAGCATCCACCCTCAGCCTGTCCATGGAGTTAGCTCAACTCCTTTCTGCTACGTTTTTCCCGTGATTTCATTAAAGAGTAATTTTTCAACTGGAAGGGAGGAAGTGGTGGGTGTAGACCTGGAGCACACAGGACAGTGGTCAGGGCTGTACCCTGGAAGGGGATCTCTGTAGCTCCAGTACCTCAGTCTAGCTTGGGACTGGGTGGGGAAGAAACCCCAAATGCATGCACATGTGACACAGCACTGATCTCTCTGAAAAGAGGAAGGCTCAGGGTTCCTTGTTTTCTCTCCTAGCATTACGTTGATGGGGAACTCGCCATGTGGCAGAACAACTTCGTCTCCCGGAACACGATCACCATCTCTTCTTTCGCTGGCGAATACGACATCTGCCCCAAAGATAGCGCAGCTGCCTTCTTCACTTTCCAAATCTCTGATTGTATTTTACATATATCAAAAAGAAACATCTGCCGTTTGCAGTGTATTTTTCAGATGCCCACACGTCAAGTGAGCTGCTTCTACAGGTACCCAGAGCCATAAGGCCCCTATAGCTGGCCCATCTGCCCTGACTACCATCTCTCCCCTGCAGGCTCTGGACGAGATTCGTAAACATGGCTACGAGGACACAGTCGTCTTCTTAAAAAGACTGAGTAAGTGATTGGGAGTGAGAAGCAGGTAGGTCGGATGCTTCTCTTACAACATTAGTTGGCTAATGGCTAATAGAAGGTGCTGCCAGTGCATCTGGAGTGATTGAGGTAGAGAGATCCCTGCATCCCTGGCATTGCCAGAATTGCTTGAGTCCTATCCTCTCTGTGGCCTCTCCTGAAGCTTCCTGTGAAGCTTCCCCCTTGAGGTGACCCCTTCCCCTCTGATGATGTTAAATCCCCTTTTCTCTGCCACACTTGGCATGGTAGAACTTTGCAGGGATTGCAGGTCCCCAGGACCTAGACAGAAGTGTAGATGCCCTGTATGGTGTTTGACTGATAACCCATTGATGCACAAAGCAGCAGTGTTTGGTGATCCCTGACCCAGAAGCCCAACTCGGATTAGCCATGCACTGCTGCCATCAGTCCCCCTAATTTCCAGTCAGCCCTGGTCATACTGAGTAGTTGAGCAACAACCAGAGAGCTGGATTCTCTTCCCACCAGGTGAATTTGGTATAAATTACCTTGATGATGACTTTATGCCTTCATTGGCCAATGAATCATGTCAGAAAGGTGAAGAGACCCTGCACCAGAAGCCAGAAACAAGAGTACTTTGCTCCAGAGCCACAGACCCTGAGGATGACACCAAAGAGAATCCAGGGACCATTCAGGCAGCAGATGAAGTGGAAGAGGAAGCCCCACACCACCTTCTCCACCATCAGAAAGGTAGAGGACTAGCGCTTCCTTTACCCCATCAGTTTTCATTAGCCAAGTGACCCTTGCCCAGGGCTCTCACTGCCAAAAAAGGCTATCTGGGTTTTTGCAGGCTCCAGTAGGTGAGAACATCAGGAATGGGAGAGAGTCTCATCTTGGGTTAGCAGTTATTAGTGAAGCCTCATGCTGAACTGGTTTGGGGTGAGGTTTGAGGGCTTAGGCTGTGGCTGGGTCAGAAGGGCTCTTTGGAGAAGTAGCTCTTTCTACAAAGAAAACCATTTACTCACCTTGTGAGGTAATGACAGGTCCTGCCCACGCTTCGTTTCATTAAGGGTGAGGGCAGCAGCAGTGTCTCAATGATCAGAGCTGGGTTTGCTGTGCCAGTCAAATCAAAATTTCTGCTTAGTTGCTCTGGTGTGCGGCCATGTGTAAACACCGAAGTGCCAGAAAAGCTTATTAGCGCTGCAGGTAATCTCTACTGTGTCATTGTTAAGCAACATAAGGCAGGTTTAAATCCAAAACTTCTAGTTTTCTGCAATCCTATGCAAAATAACGCCCTCTCCCATTTCAGTTTTGACATGGAAAACTGGTGAACCCTCAGCATTTCAGATTCCAGTTTGTCTTACTGTTGCTAGCAGAATATAAAGGAGTATGTGCTGGAGTGCAACTTTTTTTGCTTTCCATTTTATTATTTATTTTCTTTTTCTTTCTGAGTCTTTCAACATTTCAGAATTTGTCATCTTAGGAAAAATTACACTGCCCAACATGACGATGGTTTAAAATGTTGCCACATAAATTAAAGAAATAGTGAAAAAAGACCCAAATAGCGTTCTGCTATATCTACAAGGACCACACCAAATGAGGAATATAAAGGGGAAAGAACAGGACCATTACCATTCCGGATCTAAAAATAAAAGCTTGGAAAGCATAAAATGAAAGCAAAGAAGACTTTTCCATTGAAGACAAAACAACTCTGCAAGTGGGAAGAGACCCACTAGAGAAATGCAGCACACAGTGTTAGGCTGTACAGTTTGCTTCCATGCTTGCCTTTTTAAAGCCTTCATCAGTAGCTTTTGAAAGCAACATAGTGGGAACCAGGTTTCTTTGGAGGCTGGGCAGGCTCTGGGCCATCAGGAGTCTCTTGGTCTCTGGTTTGCAGCTGGGCTGCAACATTTTTCACCAGCCTAAGGTCACCCGTGGAAGGAATCTAGATTCATCTGTTTGGCCAGAGAGCAACCAAGAGGTAAGTCAGGGCTCTCTGTCTCCAGAGGAGAAGCACATCAAGATTTCAGTTCTGGGAAGGAAAAGCCCTGATGATCTAGGCCAGGAAAAGGCTATAAATCAGAATATCCCCAAAGGACTACTGCTGCGGTAGAGCCTGCACACCAGCAAGGCTCAGGCTGGATTAGTGGGTTAACCACAGTATTTACATTTTTATCCATGTGCCCACCAGGACAGTGGCACACCGAGCTGCACCCTCCTTAGCATCTAGACTAGAAGCAGAGTCTGGCACGAAGCACCTGCAGCCAACAGCCAGAGGCACCGGCAGGATCCGACACGCGTTTGTTTTCCTTTGGCTCAGTTCCATGGATCAGGCCCCAGGACTCCCCTTCCCACTAGTTCTGCAGTAGGATCTCGTTTTAGAGAGAGCTCCTGCCGACTTGGGCTGTCTCCAAACTCTCATCCCATCCACCTCAGGCTTCGTGTCGCTGCTCAGTTCGATGCAGACCAGGGCAAGCAACAGGACAGTGGTACGAGGGCAATATTTTAAGGATATCAAAACCTGCTTATCCTATTACCCTCTAGACAATAAGAGGGAGGGTAGCAGCCCTGATCAGGTATTTGAATCCAGTTTGTCTCACTGGATCTGCCAGAAGTGCCTGTCAGACTGACCAACATGTTTTTTCTCCCTTTAGGGCCATGCCAGTTGCAGAAGAGCAGTTTTGACCCTGCTGCTGCCGTTGAACCCAGTTCACGTTCTAAAGAGAGAAAGAGCCACTTACAGCCCAGCCTGCAGACAGACACCGACCTGCACTGAAGAGCTCTCTGCAGCAGCGATGCCACCAGCACAGGCAGGGCCACAACCCCCCTCCTACCCCCCACAGATCCCAGGGGATTCCCATGACCCACCTTTAACGGAGGCATTTCGGGGTGAAAACAGGATCTATTGCAACTGGTTTGAACTGGGCGCAGCTGGGTTTCCCAGCTTGCTTCCCCAGGGGTGAAACAAGTTCCTTGAGATCCAAGAGATGCCAAACTTTGCCTCTATCCATTGCCTCTGGCAAGACCTCCTTTTGCCATTAGCTCCAAGCTCATGTGGAGGAGAGACAGGGGTAGCATCAAGCGTGCTTGTTTGGAAAGATGGGGGATTAATAAAGCAAGAGACAGCTGATTTGAGTGATGAGCCATTAAATACTTCTGTCTTAGCACATCTCTGCAAGTTTGGAACAGGAGGGCTTTGTGCTGTGACTGGTTTGGTTTGGGTGTTCCCCACAGGTGTGTTTTTTGTTGAAGTTCTCAAAGTTTCAGTAACTTTTTATGATCAAGCACCATGTCATGCAGGGGCAAGTGGGATGCACTGGGTAGTTCAAACTATGCTCCTGTTTGTGGCTGAGATTTACAGACAAATTTAGAGGATTTGGGTGTCCAATTCTTATCTGAGAATTTTCTTTTGGGAATTTTAATTCCCATTTGAATAGAGAGAGTGTAACTGCCTGAGGCTGATTGAAATGGTTGTATCCTGCCTGGAGGTGGTGGTGCTTTGCTAGGAAGACCAGGAGCCAGAAGGCTGTTGCAGAAGTGGGGCCATCTGCCTGGGAGAGAAGGCAGAAGTGCAGTATGAGCAACAGCAAATGATGGGCTGACTGGCCTTGCTCCTGCCCGGGGAGTGGTGGGTGCCTCTGGGGTTGAGAGGTAAATCCATCCAGGATGGAAGGGAGACAGGAGTAGGTTTTGATGGATCTAATGCAAATAACCATCCAGGTTTCTTTTAGAAAGCTCATTGCAGAGAAAATATTCCCAGGTCATTGCTTTCAACCAGAGATAACAGAACATATTACATCAGTAACACACTGAGCATTCATAGTAAACTTTGGATCTGTTTACACCAGTGCAGCCAGCAGCTATTCCCCACATTCATGCCTGCAGTCTCCAAGGTGCTTTGGATGAAACTTCTCTCTGTACCATTTCCCTTTGTGCAATTAAACAAGCTGTTTATCCAAATAAACAGCTTGTGCTGTTGTGATCCGTTTGTCCATCGGGAGCCAACAAACAGGAGGGACCCAGTTGGGGTAAAGCCAACCCGTCAGCCTCCGATGTGCAGAATGTATTTGAGATAAAAGCGCTGCTGATTTGTTCTACGTACAGACCAGCAACACGAGGTGTGTTTGCATGGACCATAGGGTGTTCAGAGCAGTGGGTTACAGAAGATCACATGGGAAAAACTGGTGTAGCTGTGAAATGTCAGGTCCCCTGGTGCGATGGGAGATGCGGTCTGCAAGGCTGCGGTACTTTGAAGCAGGGGGAGGTTGATCTTTAGGTTTCTTCATCCTTCTTCACAGCTGCAAATTCAGAGGGGTCCAAATATGTGCCTACCTCCGCTGGCGGGAGAAGCAGGCCTCCGAGGGTGTATGAAGCTCAAAAATAGGTGATTGGTAAAATAACTTGAGGAAATTGGATAAAAATGAGTTCCTGCCCAGTGTGATGCTCCCTAAGGCTTTTCCCTCTCTCTGTTTTCCGTTTGATGAATCTCTCTGAAAGTTTTTGAGTGGGAGGCAAGCACTTAAAATGTGACATTTCCTGGCAAATGCCTGCCCTGCAATCTGCATTAAGGCAGGGGGAGGGATGCTGCTGGTGACCAGCAAGCAGAGTGGCCAGGGAAACCAGCAGCCAGGCTGCACCAGCATGCGAGTAAAGATGCCCCATCTCCCCGCGCGGAGCTGCGGCCCGGCTGTCGTGTTACAGCAGGTCAGGCCTGGGCAGGGAGACTGCGGCAGCAGCGCTGGAAAATAAATCAGACAGTTTCCCCCAGTGAAAAAACACCCACCCCCTAAAAATTCCGTAAATAACCAGCAGCCGTGCCGCTGTGTGAAATGAGCTCCGGTGCATCCCACCGCTTCCTGGGGCAGCAGAACCACGTGGTGTCGGAGACCCCCAGGGACCATCCAGGACAGTTACCTAAAGGAACAAGCTGGCAGTTAGTTGAGTCAGGGCCAGTGATCCGACCAGGACAAGTAGCCCCAGGGACATTTGATACCGAAGGGCTTTCTCTGGAGCAAGAATATTTTGCTGTAGGGAAGCAGCACTAAGCTGGTTCATAGCTGCTTTGAGATGTCACTAAATATATAACATAATGGGGAAAAATTAGCTCCTTTTACTGTACAGTACCTCAGATTTGGAATTTTTAGCCAAGCTCAGCATCAGGGACCCATGGGTGAGGTTCCCCAGGGATTTCCTTGCTCTGCACCCTGCCCTCCCTCCACTGAGGGTTTGCATCCCCCAAGCACCTCACCCCCTGGCCAAGTCTTTCTTGGGCAAACCAGGCAGCATGGTTTGGAGGAGCTTCTGGAACCATCTAACCATGGTGTTGACACTTTCCAGCAGCCCCCACACCTTCTTCAGCCTGCAAAACCAAAATAAACAGGCAGATTTTAACGACTGGTAAATGCAGCAAAAGAGGGAGGGTGTTAATGGTAAATGCACACTGTAATACTATTTTTCATGACCAAGCAACCCTGTGGTGTCCCTCTAGCCATGCCCACTCTCCCTGAAAGCTTGCCTTCAGGGAATACCAAATCCTCCTGCAGAGGACTGGGATGCCGCTAAGCCTATTTATGCAGTAGATGTGCATCGACTTGCCCTGGTCTGTAGAAAAGAAGGGACTTGCCACCAGCCCACCCTGCCCCATCTGTTTCTCATGGAGCTGCCATGTAGGATGCTACAGGCCATCACGTGCCCCCATGCTGGGCTCGCAGGGGCACCTGTATGCCTCCTGCTAATCTCGCACCATGCATCCCTTCAGCTGTCTCGCCACTGCTGAAGGCACAGCCCCGGGTTTCTGTATCACTCTCAGCTTTGAAGCCTCTGTCAAGATGTTCTTACCCCTTCCTGACAAGAGCTGAGCTGCCAGCCTGTATGGCTGCAGCAGGACCTTTGACAGCGGATCCTGCAGTCCAGTCATCTGCTCCTTCCTCCACAGGGCCAAGCCTGTGCCCAAGAATGACAACACAGAAGTAAATAAAGACCAGTAATTAGCGATAACCCAATAAGTGCACTAATTCCTCTTGTCCAGCAACCCTTGCTGCAGCTCAGCCTGCAGCTACTGAAGCCCAGGCCAGAATCCAGCTCGAGCTGCTCTTACAAACAGCTGCTACAGATCTAGAAATATTTACTATAATAAAAACTCAATAATGTCTTAAGTATAATATTGCTCCTTTCAAAGACTGCAGCAGCCCTCAGTGGCCCCAGCCACCCCCAAAACCCAAGATCAGTACCCCCAACTCTTCTACCTGGCAGGAAGCAAGGAGCCAGGCACTGGGGTACCCTTTTGTACAGGCCGGTGTACGTCCTCTTGGGTTGTACATAGTCGTTCCTCCCACACATGGTGGCGAAGCGGAAATTGCCATCGAAGTAGTTGACACCAAAGGCATCTGCGAGACATGGAAAGAAAGGGCTGATGTTGCACGTGCATCATGCTTCTCGGCTGCCCTTCAGGTCTTGGGGTAACACTTACTGTTCCTGTAGAGGAAAAGGGCAGTGTCCTGGTACCCTTGGGAGAAAATGTCATTCAAGACCTGCAAGGAGAAACACTGGAGGTCACTAAAGAGCTCTCCATCCAGCCACTGGCAGGATCTATCCAAGGCTGTTTGACCACGGAGGGTTGGGGTGGCCTGTTTGGGAAGGCAACAAGCACAGGTTGGTTTCCAAGCCCAGGCTGGTTTCCAACCACCAAAGCATTGGTCCTTTGCAGATTGTCAAATCAGAGTGGACTCCATCCCAAGTTGGCCTGGGATGCACTGCAAAACCAATGGGTGCTGCCTTCCCCCCTTGAAATCTGATTAATTAATGATGGAGATTGAACTGAACCTTAAAGCTTGGGAAGGCAGGCCCAGCTTTGGTTTTAACCAAAACAAAGCTGGGAAGAAGACCTGGTGGGCTTACCATGGTGCTAGGTGGGAAAAGAGCATAGCTAATCCTGCAGAGGTTCTCTATGGAGATCTGAATGCTGCCGTTGAAGATCTGGAAACAGAAGAAGATAGCGGGACAATCCCGCGGACAGATATCCAGCTCTCCCGTGAACGGGGACACAGTGATCACGGCTTCCTCCAGGCTGGAAACAGGCTGCAGGCCGGTGAATCCTCCGTCGATGTAGCGCTGAGGGGGAAGAGCAGAGGGAGGGTTTGCTTCGAGGATTGCGCCAGCGGGCGCGAGGGCAGCGTCGCCGAGAGCAAAGGTGACATCTCCTGCCACGAGCCAGTCCCAGCATGTCCTCCCTTCCCACTTTCAACAACATCTCTTCCCACCCCTTGATCTTAATCCCGGCCTTTGCCAGCTCCTTCTGCTGCCCTGCCTAGGGCACCCAGCTGGCTTCTCGACCAGGTGTGTAATCCACAGCGGTTATTGACACAGAAATAGAATCATTTTCGTTCGCAAAGCCTTGTAAAGTTGTTTCGGCAGTCATTAGCCAATTCAAACATCACTGAATTCACAGTGTTGGATAAATTTCAAGTCCTGAGCTGAAGCGGTAGGGTTGCCACATTTAATAATTGCCTGCAAATCCCTGGAGGATTACTCACGGGGCAAGGAAAACTTTGTTTGCTGTATTCCAAAAGGAATCCGAATTTACCACCCACCTCAGTGGGATCTGAGGTTGCAAGGACTGCAGCTGATCGAATTAAATGCTCGGGAAAGAACAGCGCAGAGGAGCCTCACGCAGCAACGCCACCGAGCTCTGGGTCCTGCAAACTTCATGATGAACCTTGTGGGCAAGCCCTGCAGACCAGGGTAAGCTGGAGATCTGACCTGACAGCCAGGCACAGACATCCGAGGGCTAAATAGGCTCGATCAGTGCAGACCAAGAAAAGCCAAGGAAAGATCCCAGTGCTATCCCAGCTGCAAATCTGGTATCGTGGCTTTGACACACAAGCAGGTCATGATGCTCCAGTGTCTCCAGGCTCCATCTGCACATGCTTCACCACCACGCTGCTGTGCTCCTCCTTCACTGAGGGTTAGCAACAAGGCAGCCCAAATTTATTGACTTCACTGCAGTGTCTCACAGGGTACGAAGATGCATGATTTTGGGGGAGCATCCTCCCATGGACTTCTGATATTTTGGCCAAGTCTGCACTTGAGCTAATGGAGACATCTGCACTGCAGACAGATCCTATCCAGGACAACTGGATTGTGTGTCAAAGTCCTGAGTGTGGGCATCCTCTCACCTCACTTTGGCGATCTGCAGGGCAAGATCGAGTCATCCAGGCTCTGTCTTTAGGCAAAGCAGGAGAGGGCTCTCCAGATGGCAATTCCACCCAGCTATAATCTTTGGATGGGATGAAGAACAAGCTAAGAGGCTTTATCATCCCCCATTAACCAAAGCAGCAGCCTAGACCTATATATCCCTCTCTGCTCAAGGGAATCTAAAGTTCAAACCCAAGAACGTACTGCTGGGAGCGTATGTTTTATTGGAAATATCACTCACCACACCTCGGTAGGATGGAGGGATGAACCCACAGTAGATAGGAAGAAAGCAGCTGCAGAGGAGAGCCTGGGGGAGGAGAGGGATTGCAGAAGTAAATGTTCCTGCCAAAGTTCTCCTGAACAAAAGCTGTCAACTGGGTGCCTGCAAGTTCAGGCTTGACAAATCGTCTGGAGTCAGGCTGTCGGTACCACCTGGATTTTACACTTGACTGTGTCAAGAAGAAAGGTTTCAAGAAGAGGAAAACACATCTCATTTCAATAAAGTTGAAACACTTCTCTTGATAAGGGCATAGCACTTCATTTTTTATTTTTACAGCTGCCAGCAAAGTTAGAGTTGTGTATCTATATATCACTGTCCAAACACTGCCCTGTGATGGTGGTAAGGTGAAACATTGGGATCATTTTTCATATTTGCAGGGTTTTGGACAAAACCAAGACATGCTCACAGTGTATTGTCATTCAGCTGGAATTTGTCAGCAGCAAAGCCACTGCTGGGCTGTTTGCAACCATTTTCCATCAATCTCATTGGCTGGGAATGAGCATCCCGGGCTCCTGGGTTCACCTAGGGCAGACACCACAGGGTGAACTCCAACATCTCCATGGACTTGCCATCTTCTACCGTCTCCCTGGGACAAGCAAGCCCACGACCTCACAGTCAGCTCTGTTAGGGATTCTCTCTCCAGCAGCTAATTTACTGGTTAATCAGGTGCTTGTTTGGCAGCACAGACGCTTTGTCCGGCTCTTTCCTCCCAGGAAAGTGCTGAGGCAACAAGGAAAGTTACTGCCAATGGGACTTGGCCAAGGAGAGACCTGTCCAGAAAGCTGAGAGGTCATGTTAGCATTAACACAGCACTTTGCAAAGAGCCAGTAGCACTTGTTAGAGCTGGCCAACATGTCAGCACCAGCTTTTTGAGACTGGAAACAAACCTTCTGCCTTTTTAGCATGATCTATTCCTGCCTGACTCTGGACTTAAGATCTTCCTTCCTCCCTCCAAGCCTTATGGAGCTCACTGTGATGGGACCACGGCTCTGGCAGAGCTTCCTGACACTCTCCCCATCTTGAGCAGAAAACAGAGCCGTTAAAGTCATCGATGCTTCGGTACCTCCACCCCAAGCAGTAGGTAGAGATCTTCCTATGGCATCAGAGGAAGATCCCTTTACCTGAATGAGTTCCTCCTTCGAGCTGAACTCAGAGACGATGACGTTTTGGCCGTCCGCCACCCGCGTAAGCGAGATGTGCAGTCGCCCCGAAGCCAGCTGGTAGGAGTCTTCTGGTAGCATCTTCTGCAAAATAGCCTTGATATTCGCCAGCAAGCTGCACTTGGGAGAGAGAGGCCCCAGGGTGGTTTTCCTGGCTTCTTTTGCGATGGCAAAGAAAAATTCCTTTAGGTCATCTGACATGGGGAGAGGAAAAGGGACAGAGAGAAAGTCAATGTCACTGCTGCCCTAACGCATGTATTTTTAATCCTATTTTTAACACTCCCCACAAATAAAGCCTCTTGCAGCTCTGTGTAGGACCCCAGGATGATAATGCTGCTATAATGGGGGACGTGGTGGCAGGGCAGAAAGTGAGAGATCACCTCCGTGGTGTCCTCAAAGGACAACGTATTGCTGAGTGCAGCCCCGCTGGTGAAACCCCTGTCTGCACCGGAGATGGGTGCTCAAAGTGTGCCTGGCCAGGGATTAGGGAAAGGCTCCACAGAGCCTCAGGAAGGGGGACGCAGGGACAGACACCAAGTTATCTGTGCCAATGTGACTTGCACAACACGCTCCTGCCTTCCACCTCCGATTTTGCACGTGGGCAGCCCCAGATTTCATGGGGCAGCTGGGACGGTGCAAAGGTGAGGACGAGGAGAAGACCTCCACCTCTTCTGCTTAGGGCTTTCCTGCAAGCCAGGTACCCTGGCTCCACCGTACTGGGACTCCCCGCTCATCTGAGCTCCCCCAGTGACCTCCCAGCCAGTGTTAACAGTCATTACATGTGTCTGCACATCCCAGAACCTGGATTAAAGGAGCAGAGCTGCAGAGCTTGGGAGGCACCAGGTTTTAAAGACTGCATAGTGATGGAGGGGAAGAAGAGTGCCCCAAACCCCGTGGTCAGCCTGATCCCAGCAAGGGAGCTTGGTCCCTTTGCCAAAATGAGGAGGTCGCTTGGGGGAATATCCCACGTAGGGTGATGAAACTGCTGCACCAAAAAGCTTATCGAGCCCCCTGGTGCTGCAGAGAGCCATCCTTGCACCCGGGTGGGCTCCGACACGAAGCCGCGGGCTTGCCTCAGCACCGTGGCTTTGTAGGGGCAAAGGTTTGCGGGCTGTCTCGTGAGGTTGCTTTGAAGGCACGGACAGACAGACGGATTAGACGGAGTGTCCTGAGAGCAACTGGAGCAACGCAGGTATTAAGAGGAGTTATAAAGGTTTGAGCGGATGTTCAGGCCATGTGGTGTGATGATTAACGCTCGGCGGGTTCACACAGGGTCCTCGGGGAGGCTGAAAGAGCCAGAGACACCCCAGGCAGGTGATGTCCCCGCCGGGCACTGTCTGGCTGCTGTGTGCCCTGGAAACGAAGGAAAACCTGGAAAAACTGCCCGCAAGCTGCCGGGTAGGAGCTGAAAGCCGACCACAGCTTTGGGGGCTTTGGGTCTGGATGGGGCTTTGACTCGGGGCAAGCGAGGGATGACCCTGGCACGCAATACCGTGACCGTCCCCGCCTCCACCAGCTTGCTGGTGACAAGCATGTCCCCAGGAGGTGACCTGTGGGGTGACAGGGGACAACCTGGCTCAGAGAGCTCAGAGCTCCTCACCCAGCCCGGGTCAGGGTGCACGACCGCAGCCACCTCATGGGACACGCCGTGACGGGCCATTCACACCTTTAACCTTCTTTTTGTCCTAACCCTCCCCAATATGAATTTGGCAAACTTTGTGCCACATCCTTTTTCCTTATAAAAAACCCAACCAGAGTCATCAGCACCCAAAAGGGCTTTTCTTCCCTTGGGGAAGATGTTTTGGGCACAAGATCATCTCAGCACCTCTAAGTGGATGGTACCTACCAACCCCGGTGAAGCAGACCCCCATTTCGGCACTGGTGTGCACAGCAAGAGCAGTTACCAAACTGGACGGCCCCAGCTCCATCTAATTACATCAGCATGAGGAATCAGAGAGGAAAGTTTTGGAGCCTTTGCTGATTTGTAGAGGAGTTCATCCCCATATGGGCAGAGAGATTCCTTCCTGCTTTGTCTAAATATATATAATATA